GCATGAAGAAAACCTTGGGACCATCTTAAGCTAAATTGACCGTCTGCATAGACGAAAAGAGCCATATTAAGTAGAGAGAGAGAGAGAGTATTCCCAGTTTCGGTAGGAATACATTTTGAATTGATCGCGGGTGGCGCCGAAGCCTACTACTCTAATCAACTTTAGGAACATAATGAAAACTTTAACGTGTGCAATTTCCACACGTGACTGGTGAAATTTGTGGCCCTTCTCCGCAAGGGTTAGGCGTTCACTCTTACTTACCCAAAGATCAGGAGTGTGGCTGAAAGACAGCAGTAAGAAGGAGCCATAGGTATCAGAGAATGGTTGTTGTTGTTTGTTTTCAAATCTCTTTAGGTGCAAGCATTTTGCTCTTGGCATCATAGGTTAATGAGATCATGGTTAAATCACTGAAATTTTATGGTTATGGTCCGTGGTAGATCCCAGAAGGTCAAATCAGCTCGGAATGTAAACATGCCTCATTAAATATTCGTCTTAAAATGCATAATTCTTTTGGTTTCTAGATAAAATGGATCGTTTACTGAATAATTACTACACCAAAACGTGTATTCCGTATTTGTGTGATGTTCTGGTGAAATCAGTCACTTGTCAAAATGATAAAAATGGAAGTAACAGACGCTAAGGATTAATAAAAGTTGCATAAATGCCAATGCTTTACCATTGAAGGATACATTTTTTAAAAGAATGATTCACAGATAGTCTATGCTCTAATGCTGCCCAACTGTAACATATATCTGATAACTGATAACTCTAAATACCTGTAGTAACTCTTGTGAACTTTATCTACTATTTTTGTACAATTTACTTGCACTGTTTCGTATTATTGAAGAGCTTTTTTGTGGAGGTTTTTAGCCTGAAGTACACCTCAAGAACACACTTATCTCTAATGCTATTTCCTCACTGACTAGGCTCGAGCAGAACTTATAGTGGTTACATCGAGTATATGAAGTACCTCATTGGCCACTTTGCTGAAACGAAGAGACGTGAGGTTTATGATTCAAGATAAAAAAAACAAAATTAAAGTATAGAAGCTGAAACGAACTCGTAAAACAAGTCTTGCATAAGAGTTATGTGTAGTCGAAGTTTGCATACAGGACAGGACGAACAGGAAAAAAGAAAATGAATGAAGAAAAGAATTAATCTGTACCATAATGACTGATTAGCATAACACAGAGTGTTCAGGATATGTGAACATAGGAGAGAACTATTGCTTGTTTAATTTTGAGGTATGTTTGTTTGATTGTTTGTTTGTTGGGTTGGCTTTTTTTAAGGGGGTGTATCCTTTTAGTTTTTGTCTTTGTCAAATGTTCTATGAGGCACAAATATGTCTTTTCGAAGAAAGATTACTGGCTGTGGGTGTTGTGTGTCCTTTCTTTTCCTTGAACATATTATTCTCCATGGACAGATTATAATTAGCACAAAGGGGAGTGAAACAGAAAGTAGTCAAACAGAAGAGAGTCAATAGAACAGTCAATCTTTGAAAGCTTACCTTGGGGAAATATTATGATTTGCGCTGACGTACATACTTGCGTGTACCTTTATCACCATACATAATGTCACTCCAGTACAGCTTTTTTCAAGAAATTCTAATATCAGCTTTAAAATGATAATATACCTATAGATTATTATTACTTCACCGTATGTCTTCGATAATTCAATACGTTTAAATGGAAATTCTGCTTAAAGATATGACCTGTTTTCTAGAAAATAAAACAAAGTCTTAGAATAGATAAGTCGATACATGAATTGGAAAGGACGTGTGCAAACGGTAGTTCTAGGGATTTAAAGAAAAAACACAAACCGCTTACTGCAAGGTCATTCGAAAAAGGTCACCATCAACGAATAGATTACAGCCAGCTTGCTATCATTATTTCGGTACATCGTACTGCGTCTTAGATAACGAGAACTACGTAACAACTTGATATCATTATCATCAAACTGGAGTAGCTGAACTGGCCCTCTAACTGATGCTCTCTGGCTTGTATTGGTGGTGGTTTAGTAGAAGTAGTCGTGTATGTGCGTGTGTGGTGTCTGTATGTATCTTCACTGAAGGACTATGGCGTCTTTGACTTGGCTGATAGGAACTTCTTTCTGGTTTCTTTACGCTGCATCCTGCTGCTCAGCTTGTGAGTTTAAATACACAAAAATAAATATCCACTCTTTCAGTACCCAAGGGATTTCACAATTTTATACACTCAAACTCGAAGGATATTACCTTAAAACAGCTATAAATCAGACAAATATAGATGGAATTTTTTTTGTGTGAGCACTCTTACTATTCATAATGGGACAGAGAATAATAAAATTGGTGAAAATAGGTAATTAAAATAGCACAGGACCAGGTGTAAATCTTAGAATTGACAAATTTTCTAGCCCCAAAAACACCACTAACATGGTGAGCGAAAATCAACGAGTTAAAGGGCTTTGGCGGTTCTTTTGAACACTTTGTATTATTACTGTGTCGGTGCTATGGCTCATGTTGTCGTAGGGTGTCGCTGCCGCTACTCGTTATTTTGTTGTTCTTTTGTTCCTGTTATTGTAAATGACTTACTACGTTCCTGAAAAGGAAAAAAAACGTTGAACGTATTTTAACAAACATTTTTTTTTTTCGAAACCATATCCAAGTTTCACTCTCCTCTCTAACCTACAACACTCTTAAAATAAGATCATACTGTATATTCCCTCCTGGGATTTGTTCTGATATCATGATGGTGATAGATGGGAGGAGACGGAGATAGAAGAAAAGGAGGAAGAGGAGAACGGTGACGACAAAGACGACGAGAAAGCTGAGTGTTAGGACATAGAGGACTAAGATTTCAATGGTATAAAAGAAGAGAGAGAGAGAG